AAGGAATGTCCAAAGGGAATTGTATTTGAGAGTTACCAGTGTAAGTTAAGGGATACTGAACCGGTATGAAATCCTATTCTTTTTGAGGTTGCTTTGGTGATGAGGGTGTAAGACTGGATACAGTTAAAAGAAATAATTGATCAGAGTTTTTGCTCTTTTCAAGTGATCCAGGCAGTCTAAATTTAAATGAAGGATTTAAGAATGCTCTGCATGTCCTGTTCTTCATAAAGCGTTGTGACTTAATACCGTGTTCCCAGTTTTACCGCTGGAAAGTAATTTCCAAATGCTGGAGACCAGTAACTCCATAAGTATTTACCTTAATTCTCTTTGTAGAATTGGAAAATTCAGTACTGCTGCTATTGCAGAAAGGCACCCATTTAGACTGCTCATTCAGTCTTCTGTCTATGAGTATCTGTTGAATATTATTAAATGTTGTTAATTATACCACTAATTCCATATGAAACAAAGGACTGTTGGGGCATGCAGGAACCTAAGTCTAACATTTGCATTATGATTATAAAACACCGATAGCTTGGAATACGTCACCAAGGTATTGTCCTTGAATCTACCACCGAATAAGACCATTTGGTAGAATCTTGTCAGTAACTGAACTTGAAGCTTTAAAGCTCAATACATTCAATCGCGTTCCTTTGATGTGACGCTTAATATCCTTTCACTGATTTTGAACTTCTTCCTGCTGAGACTCATGGTTTGGAGTTGTGTTTTCTGGGGTCAGCACACAAACACCACAGTTCCCTGAGGTCTGTGGGAAGCAGAAGATAGGTGGAGATTTGGACAACTTTGTATCAAGACTCTCTCCTATATCTCTGAAGATGTGAAGGTTCTGTTCCCACCAAGCAGCAAAATAATCATTATAGCATATCCAGACTTGAGATATGTGGAAGCACCATCATGTTTCACCATCTCCTTGTAGTCTTTTTGCCCCAGATGGTGAACAGCCAGAAGAAGAGGGGCTGGTAGGCCTGCTCAGAGGTGTTAAGTGTGTGAGCATCTCTGCTATGCCCTGGCTTTCGTACAGCCTGAACATGGATGCCCAGCCCTCATTCCACCAAGCCTTAAGGTTAATGATTTACACTTCCTCTTCCAAAACCTTGGCCTCAATCAGGTTATAGAAAACAGGCAGTGTGCCTTCTGGGAGCTGTCTGCTACTGCAGTAACTGAGCCGTTCTTTCAAAACCACCAAATGCTGGGTGCTCTTGGCAAAGATATAAAGGTGACTAAAACTGGCAGAAAGCTTTTTAAAAAGGGCATAGCAAAATTTAATTTAGACAGACATGTTATCTCTGATGCTGGTAGTGGAGAACTATAAATAGTAATGATGAGGTACACTTCCTAGGAGAGGTACTCTTCTGAGATACAGAAGCAAAGAAGTTCAGCCTTGTGCCTCAACTAGATTAGGTCATGATGGACACAGAGAATGAAATTATAGTAGCCCCAGTTTAGTTATTTTCCTACTGTTTATGGAGAATCTGAGGAATCCAATCTAACAGTGTTAAGAGCCACAGATGCACACTGCTGTTTGTACAAGCTATATGCAGCTAAAGAAATGGCTTTCGTGTTCCCCAGCTATGAAGTGATCATTCATAAACCATTGCAAACAAGTGGATGAATAAAATGCATTGAATGTAGGCACAGAAACCAAGGGCTGTACTGAAGATACTGAAGATAGTAATGTGTTTTCATTCCTGACCAATTAGGAAGTGTCTGAAGATATGTGAAAATTTAAATCTATTTTTACACAAGTGCACAAAAGCAGAGACATAACACTAAAGCTCCTCAAAAGCCCCCAGCCATTTCTGAAGGACCAGATGTCACTCATTCATTCACCATAAGAACAAAACTAGGATTTGCTATCAACGGAACTAGTGTTGCCAGCTGGTTTTGTCCACAATTGTTAATTCTTTCATGTAATCTTTTAAACTAAAGAATTAATAATAGCTATTAATAGCTGGCCTTTGATGCTTCAGGGTTCCCTAATTTAACTTGGTGTGAGATACCATAGCACTTACTTGTGGTTAACTACTGCTCATGAGCCTGCCTTAAATATCACGTCAGTGCTCAGACTCTCAAAGGGGTGCAGATGATGCTTGTCTGTAGTGAGCAATCCTCCTTAGGAGAATAAATAAATGTCTTTCACAGTAAATTACCTAGCTTTTTATGGTTAACATAAGTTATTTCTTTAATACTCAAGTCTGTATGGGACTCTTAAAACGCTTTACGATTTATTTAATAACTTAAATAATTTTACAAGTTATTTTAATGATGGTTTTATGTACGACGTTTCCAGGCTGTTTGAAATAACTATGCTTGCACATACAATCAGGTAGACATACCTTCTAACAGATACTAATGGAGTGAGTTGGCATAAATTGATTCATATAAAAGACTTTTCAATTAGACTTTCCGACCTCACAATCTCCCTACAAAAACACAAGGCTTTTGTAACCTTCACGAGACTTACAGCCCTTATAATCCTGATACTGTTGATAGATTTCTTGCCTGTCCTTTTAAACTTTTCATCTTCAAGATGCAGCCTCATAACCTTGCTGCTTGTTTTGTCTTCCCTTCAGTAAGCTCCTTGTCTGTATTGTTGCAATGGATGGGATGATTCACAACCACTGACAGCTTCAACCAGATGACTCTGTTCCTAGTAATGGTATTTGTAGGAATAAATATGAAAATAATTAAATTCTGTGTATCAGGCTATCCTTTTTTTCTTCTGAGGCTCGATCTTTGAGCTGAGTTATGAACACTGTGCCAGTGTCCCAGAATCACTGTCCACCCTCTGTTAGCAGTGCTCACTGTTCCACTCTTCTAACCTTGTTTTCTCATTAGCTCGCCTGAAAATGAGACTTCTTTTTTTACCCACTTATTTTTGGGGTTAAGGCTGTCTATCATCTCAATCCATAGAGGACCACTGAATGCTTGGTCTGCTGCACCCAGTTTTACAGCCACCACCTGATACAATCTGTGAACCAAGGAGTAAAAGTCATCAGATGCCTTTCCATGGCCCAAGCAATGCCCTGTATCCAATAGGGGCTGCCATAGCTGCCCTCTTGCATGAGCTTTCTGGCTCCTGTCATCGTCATCCAAGCACTGCCAGCTCAGGACCAGTTTCTGCCTCCACACCCAGCCTTGACTAAGGTCTTATGCCCAGAGCTGGCATATGCCTTTCAAATCACCTGCCTAAGCAGTTCATCAGCCAGAAATAAGCAGCCGCTCTGGTTCTGCAGCATGGCAAGGAAGGAGATCTTGTCCTGCTCACACAAAAGTTTGTTCCTCAGTTCCCTAAAGGCTTTCCTGGACCTCTTTATTACTTGTTCTTTCCCAATCACTTCTTCAAGTCCTCTTTCAGCTTTTATCTGACTTGTGGGATACAGTGGTCTGCCTAAGGAGGTCGGCCCTTGATCCTGGGTCTCAGTGATCCATTACATAGTATTTTTCATGCAAAACCCTAAGGAATCTTTAAAATTAATGTTTATACTATAGTAATCCTAAGAGGAAAACAGACCTCAGCAAGATGCTGTGTAGGTAAGTTATAAGCAGGTAATTCATAGAATCACAGAACGGTTTGAGTTGGAAGGGACCGTAAAGACAACCTAGTTCCAGCCCCGCTACCACAGGCAGGACAACTTCCACCAGACCAGGTTGCTCAGAGCCCTGTCCAACCTGATCTTAAACACTGCCAGGGATGGGGCAGCCACAGCTTCTCTGGGCAACCTGTGCCCATGCCTCATCACTCTCACAGTGAGGAACTTCTTCCTAATATCTAATTTAAATCTGCTCTCTGTCAATTTAAAGCCATTTCCCGTTGTCCCATCTCTACAGGCCTTTGTAAAAACCCCTCTCCAGCTTTCTTGTTGGCCCCTTTAGCCACTGGAAGCTGCTCTAAGTTCTTCCCAGAGCCTTCTTGTCTGCAGGCTGAACAAGCCCAGCTCTCTCAGCCTGTCTCCATAGGAGAGATACTCCAGTATTTTCATGGCCTCCTCTGGACTTGCTCCAACAGTTCCATGTCCTTCTTATGTTGGGGGCCCATGCAATTGGGTGCAGTACTGCAGGTGGAGCTTCACCAGAGCAGAGTGGGAGAATCAGCTCAGCTCAAAGACTGGGCTTGACTTTCCAGCCTTTCCAGTGAGTGTGCAATGGTTATAGCAACAGAGTAACTCTTAAAAAAATAAATTAGACATAGGAGTGCACATGTAGCAGGGCTCAAAACCCAGTGGACAAAAACATCTTTGGCTGTGCTGGAGATCTGTTTGAATGAGCTTATGTTTTGTGGATGATATTCCCATAAACTTTGCAAAAGGAAAAGAGGAAACGGGAGCAGAATGGAACAGGAAAGACCGGTGGTGTCATGCCGGGCTCCTGCTGGAGCCCCTGCCCTGATTTGTGTATGGGAGTGCAGAATGGGAGCGTGAGACAGGTTGTGTAGCTTCTCCCATCAGCAAGAGCATTCCTGGCTTGATTAGCAGCTTTCAGCTGGCAGCCAGTGCTGATTTAATACTAATGCTTTTTTTATTAATGGTTGTTTAGTCTGTTTTGAATGTTTTCTGCATGGCTAATTAATGTACCAAAATGAATTAAAATGTGTTGCTAAATTTTACAGTAGTATACAAACAAATGGCTGGAAGTCTCAGCTCCTCTTCAATGTTTTATCTAAACTTTGTGTTCTCAGAGACAGATCTAAAAGCCACTTAACTGAGCTAAAATGTGATGTCATTCTTCTCTAAATACACATAGGTATTTATGTTCAGCCTGTTGAGAAACAGACTTGAATATAGTGAGATATATGTAATTACTTTCTTTTAATGATAACAGAACCCACTTAAAATTGGCAGGGGATCAAAACCTGCAGCCACATATATGGGATTTTGCTTGAGTAAAGCACTCTGTAACATTATGCTGGGGAAAACCAGCATGATTCATCACTGGGAAGACACTCCCAGCTGGAGCAGATAGTTAGAAACCTCTCGCTATTGACCCTTGTGAAGAGCGGTGTCAGCCCCTCCGAGCGGAAAAGCTGCCGGGAAGAAGGTAACCCTGCAGCCAGGGTGTTTGTATTTCATATTTGAACAGTGCTGGTGGGGTGCTCGGTTTGCTTTTCACTGTGGAGGGCAGAGCTGTGCCACGCTACAATTCCTCTCCCCTTTTGGCTGCTAATTTGCCGTGTTTCTGAATTTACGCTTTATTGTCCATAGATAATTTTCTCTCTGAAACAAAGACGATTTGTGTAAGAGAGTAGAATAACAGCATACGTGTTTGATATGGGTCTGTCTATGCTTGAAATAATCCAGCATCTAATTTTTAATGAAACATGAAAGAAAGCTAGAGCTCAGCACAATCCGTGCCCAGCGAAGATCCTAATCTTCCCTTTCCAACAGCGGAGAGCTGCAGCGGGCACATCTGTTCCATGACCGAGCAGCGTGGTAGCCGCTGGCCCCGGGAGGGAAGTGCACTGAGCCGGCAGCCTGAGGTCCCTCTGCTGGGCGATGGGAACCGGGCAGCGGTAGAAGGCAGCGACCGGCCGGGGAGCGCAGGCGGGGGGCCGGGCCTGGGGTCCCCCAGCTGCTGGCTCTGCTGAGGGTGTGATGGAAACCCCCTGAACGACAAGCCGGGAAAGACTTGCTGCAAAGGTACATCTCTCTCTATATATATTCTACCAAAACTCTTCTAACTTTTCTATTACTGAAAAAAAAAGTGAGTTTCTTGTATAAAAGTCACATGCCCTTAAGAAAACACACTGTGTGTTTTGGAAGGGAAACCTGAACATTTCCCGTTCATTTAGCTATCTTTTGCATTATTTCAGTACTGAGTATGGCTTAGGCACTTCGATAAAAGAGCAAAACTGGACCCTGTCTTTGCTGGGGGAGACTTGGGGGGAATCTGGTGAGCCCCTCCTGCGCACTTATTTTGGGGTGAGAGCACCACCACATCTCTCCCCCCCCCCCCCCCCAACACTGCCCTACAGCAAGCTCATTTATCAGGGAGGGTTCGCTTGGGTGCAGAGCCGCAGGAGCGGTTTGTCCGGGTGCTTTTTGCAAGGTGGGGTGATGGAGCGGGCAAGACACGGTTATCTGTCTGCTCCTGCCCTGCTCCCCAGTGGGGATGTTTGGATTTGGCAGAGAATGTGGGTGTGATTAATTTTTTTTATTCATTTTTTTGAGAGACTACTTATGAATACATAGTTCTTTACATATTGTTTTCCAAGCAGAAACAAATGGAATCATTATCTGTGTTGTGAGTCTGCGAATGAGAACCACATCGCTGGTGCAAGAGTTTCCCACTCTTCCTTGTTACTTAAAAAAAATCACTGTGTAAATAATTAATTTCTTACTCAAACAGTTGTGTTTTCAATTGCAGCTAGTGCAAGAGCTCTTTTCTGCTAAAGTACCCTTTCTTTGGAGGGAATATTAACAGTTTCTTGGTTAAAATTACGTTTCATAGCTCATGTGATTGAAAACACTACATCACTTGCCACTACAAGAGCAAGCAGTATAATTCTTTCGTATTTCCACCTGATTTCTTTTATATTTACTTGGTAATGGATATTGACAGGTATGAGAACCTGCCCAAATTGTGGGACTACCTGCAGCAGTATCTGTTGTGTGTAATACTAGATGTTGTTAGGTGTATATTTGTTGACTTTTTAGCATCGGAAGCCCAGGCTGCACGGAGGGGCTGTGAATTGTCTTTTTTGCCTGTATGAGATTCACTGTAAGTCCATGCCAGAGCACAGGGCTGATCGTTACTGTGGATTGTGAACTACTTATGGGTAGAACTGACACAGCATACATATTCCCTCTCTCAAAAAATCCCAAGCCAACCAAAACCCAAAAAACCCTGAACAAACCCAAACCAACAAAAAAACAACCCAAACCCCAATGTGTTGCTTTGGAGAGCTTGTTCTGTGGAAATTAGTAGTAAATAACAAAGATCTCAGTGTGAACTGGGTGGAGATCCCCAGCATGACTGTTAACATACCTTTAAAGTGACCTTTGTTGATTTTATTTTTTTTTATTGCTGTGGAAACCCTATTTTGCACAGAGATAGGACTATCTCGATGCACCAGAGCTTGGGGCTGCTGCTGAACAGTGGTGCCAGGAGCTCAGACTGGCTCCTGCATCCTGCTCCAGCTTTGTGCCTGCAGAGCCCCAAAGGATTTCAGACCTGCACATTTGGTTTTCTGGCATGGAAATGTAATGGTGCCATCCGCTCTGTAACAAGTGCTTAAAGAAAGGTAACTGAAATAAAGACAGATATTTCCCCTTTAGTAAGCAATGAGCTTGTGAGCTCCATGCATTGGTAGAGAGCAGGTGTCAGGATGAGGTTTCTTCACTAGATCCGTGTTTGCTTTACTGTGGAACAAGGTAAAAATAAATCATTGGTGAGGTGCTTATGGCTGAGTGATCACTGTGATAATAATGGTGATTTAGCTTATTAGGACTAATCAGATAAAATGATTCCCAACACTTAACTGATAAGTTATGCAAACATGGAGGACAGGCTTTTAATTGGGCTGGTCCTTGGGTCTAACCCCTGGAGGTGCCAGCACGGAGGGAATCTGACCCTTGGGGTTTCCACTGTATTTTTTTAGGCCAGTACTCACATAAAAACATTTGAAAATTCATCCTGATGGTTTTAGAGTAGAAGATTGTTTGCTGTCAATCCAAAACTTTATTTATGTGCAATTGATCTGCTTGCTTAATTATCTGACATTTGTGTGACTGATCTTGAGTCTGATTTCCTCATCTGCTCTGGTATAAAAGGTAAGGTATAAGTTGCAATGTTGTTTGGAAACAGAATAAATTAAATTGTTTGTTTGTTTTGCTCATGTGTAGGATTGGGGTTTTCCAAAAATACCCCAAATCTGAATCCTTTGATTTGTTCAGGCTTCCCACTACCATTAGAAATTGGATTGATCAGCAAGTATAGGGGATTAATGAGTGCTAAAATAATTGCTCTACTTCCTTCAAAATGTTATTTAGTCATGTATGAAGCTGACTGCAGTAAGCTGTAGCCCTCACCCCTTCCTTTTTCTTGCTTACACATTGCACCTAATGTCTATCAAGTTGATGCGATGGATAGGTCGAACAACTCATAAGGGTCAAGTGATACAACAGCCAAACTTGGGTGATGGTGAACTCTCCAGTAGAGATGGAAGTATGTATCGGTGCAGCTGATGGTTTGATTTGATAAAACTCAGTAAGATGTATTTAGTTAAAATGAACTCATCTGCCTTGAAAACGAACTCTCATTTCAATTCTAGGGTGGCTGATATGGTCCCTGGGTAAAACACGGCATATCTTGATTGCTGATAGGTATCTTCCTTTTGTAAGAAGATATTTACTAAGTAAGAATAGCACAGGCATTAAGGTAGAATTGTCAGTACTTCTTTGGTGCACTATAGATTTTGGTTTTGGTGAGGAAGCACATGAGCACAAATGTATCCCATGTTGGTGTTTTGGGGGTTTTTGTTTTTGTTTTGTTTTGTTTCTCGTGTTGTTTTTTTTTTTGTTTTGGTTTTAATTAATTTGGATTTTATGAATTTTTTGGGAGGTCAGGTTAGTTCAGAGGAGGAAACTGCTTGTTGGAAAGCCTTCTTTCTCTTATAAAGTGAATAACTGTTCATAGTTTTCCTGGTTGCCATGTATTAAAATAGCTGTAGTAGACCTTAGAGGCCCATTTTTGTCCTGTGAGTTCTTTGTTGTGTGGTGTAACCTACTCAGAGAGGAGCGTATTTCTTATCCCTAAGTCACCATATGTTCGCAGCAATAATCATTTTTTTCCATAAGTATCTGTATTAGTTCTGTTGTGCGTACACTGTACTTTATAGTTTTTGATGTAGTTTTTATAAAGAGTTGTGGTGGAAATTGTGAGGGTTTTACAGTAGGGATGTATGTACATTGGCAGGACTGCTTCATCACAGGATGTATACCACTGTTAGCTGCTTAAATAATTTTTACATTCATATACTGAATAAAATCTCAGTTTATCATTTGGCATTTGTTAAAAAAGGGAAAAGTTCTCTATAAATGGTGTGTCACTTGAGTGTTATGAAGCTCTGTGCCTACGTGATCCCCAGTTCAGAACCTTCTTCAGTGCTGCAGAGTGCGATTCAGTCTGAATCCACAATATTGCTATTTATTTGGCTCACAGCAGTGTCAAGGCAGGCGTTAAGAATGGGTCTCAGAAGCGATGCTGCAGATGCACACAGCAGGAGCAGCCCCTCATGCCAGGACTTTACTTTGCTTTAATACTCAGAAAATTCTCCATGGAAACCTTGAAGTCGGCCATTAGAGTGTACTTCGGATGAGGACATAGAATATCCTGCGTGCTCGTCCATTGGCATGTATTTCTGAGTAAGCTGTTGTGGAGGCTTGCCTGGCTTTATAGAAACAGCTAAATGTGTTTATTTATATAGCTAAATATGCTATATAAACTGCTAAACCTGACAGGCAGGGATGGGAGGAATAGAGTCAATTATAATTAAAAGTTTTATTGTGTCCCTTTTCCTTTTCTGTGTTCATATAGTATATAAAATTCCTCTAGCATTCTATTTAAATTCTGGGGCTTTCATCTGACCTTTCATTCTCTTCCTATACAACTGCCTTTCCTGTAATAGAATAACATAAATGACTGTCATCAAATTCTGCCTGCAATTACTTTGTATCAGTCAACCTACTGCTTTTGTGTGTATCTGCTTTCATCTCATTAGCTGTTGTACAGACGAATTATGACTTGTAGGCAGTTGACTGACTAGCTGTTGGATGATTCCTTTGAGTACTGAAGGTATTTGGCCAGCAAAATGTTGATGTAGATATTTCAGCATTAGGCAGGTTACAAAATGTTTGGGGTTTGCACTGACAAGGGAGTTTCCATACTAAGGCATACGCTGTGCAAATATGTAAACGGATTAACAGAGCAGATTATTTGGATTCAGAAATTGGTTTATAGTGCAGTGAATGAAATAATTCTGGAAACTGGAAGTCACGCAAACGGGGTATTTTCATGGTGATTTGTATTCAGAAATGCTGAAGGCCCATAACCCTGCCTAATTTTGAGCTTATTTGATACAGCTGTTAAGTGCCCCAGGGCAATTAAAAAAATTCCTTAAAAAAAAAAGCAACCCTCTTTCAATGAGGAGTTTTATAAACTGCTGGTGTGTTAGTGGGGGGTTAAATTATTGTTTATTTGTATATTTATTTTAACCCTCCAACTCAGTAGTTGGAAATCGCTAACTCCAGTCCCCATTCCCTTGCACTGTTATCATTCCTTTATTCATGCAGAGATTTTCAGATGCAGTCACTTCGCAATGTGAGTCCATGCTATTTTCCAGCATTTGTGCTGAATCACAGTCTTGGTGACTGCAACTTGTGCTTTTATGCCATGATATTCACATTACTGTTATGGAAAAGATTTTTATTTTTTTATTTTTATTTTTTTAAATTATAATAAAGTATGAGTAAATAATGTGTGTGTACAGCTGTGCTTTGGAAGAGAAAGTAAAGCTATATCATAAAGATACATATTTATGTATATATGATCAAGACAAAATATTCTTCACTTAAACGACTGGATTTCTGTTTGCTAGCTTCAAGATTTCATGTGCATATTTTCATTTGTTTGTTATTTC